ACAAAACATATATGCAGATTGGTTATTACACTATATATAACTTGTATATATAGTGTAATAACCAACAAAGTATTTGTTCACTGTTTGATGAACATAATTGAATCAACAATATGCACACCATATTTTTTAGTACAGCGATGATTCACTCATTTTATTATATAAATATATCACACTACACACTATTGAATAATATTACAGCAAAAAAACTACAAAAAATCAATTAGAGACATTGAAATAATTAGGTAATTATCTCTTTGTGGCAACTCCGGCCTGACAGCTGGCGAGAAACAGACCGTCTGGGACACACGCTGAGTCAGCACCTGTTTTTTGCCAGACTTCCCCACCCTATAGCAGACAATATATGCCACTTACGATTTTATTATTATTTTTCCCATGATCAGTGAACAAAAATTAACAGGTTTAGAAGAAAAAATATATATATATATTTTTTTTTTTTTTGGTATGCGCCTGTGGGTGACACATGCTAAATAGTCAGGCGCCATTTACGGGTTAAACTGCGCAACGCGCCTGCAGACCCACGTCTGGTTTGTGCAACACGCCTCCGGGTATTTTCATTTTTCACGTTCCATTCAAAACTCCCGCGGCTACATGGGAATCACATCAGCTTCCTCAGGGCTCTTGTAAACAGATGCCATCTTTAAAAAAATCATGGTCCACATTCCCGGGTGTGAGAGCCTCAGTAGTGAGTGAGCAACCAAGGCCGGCGCGCGCTGCATGAGCTCACAGCACTGCTGTTCAGCGTGTGACCATAGCATCGCCTAATAATGTCAAAATATATATATGACTTGTATTATTTAGCCATGATAGTATTATAGAAGAGCCTGAGTGTGATAATGACTGGGTACAATGTTCAAATATCAGTGATTAAATGCTTTTCACGATGTTCACAGCGCTAGCCACAGCACCACAGCATTATTTCGTCCATCTATGAATCATCAAACGACTTCTTAGGTTCCTTTTCAAAATAAACTTGTGGTCATTTATTCATTTACAGGAATTAGTGACCAGGATTGTGATAATAGCAGGATTGTGGTTATTATTAGCATTGTGCGTAGTATTGTGGAAGGCGGAATTTTGGTGAGGGAGGGAGGGAGAGAATTGAGGTACCCTCACTGTGTGTGGCAGCCATTCTTGTTTTGCTCACCATATTAGCTTAGTGGTTCGCTATGGGGAACATATATGTACATGGGTATATACAGTGTGTGTGTGTATATAGTGTAATAACAGCAACAGGAGTATGTTGAGTGGAGCTATTTTGGTGAGGGAGGTGACATCGTAATCGTAGTGTCGTCTGCTGTGATTTCTCATTCAGTGTATGGTGTTCACTGTACTGTTTGGACACAATACTGGCTTACTTGCATAGTTCTGGTGAATAAAACACGTAGATAGTATACATATGTAAATAGTGTAATAAAAACCATAACAGTATGGTGGGAGGAGGGGTGATGGCGAGTACGATGTTGGAGGAGAGAGGGAGGACTGGTTGGCTGGGTGTGGCAGCTCACGCTCGCAGAGTTCTGAGTGTGTTTATGGTGTGTGACAGTGTAGTGTGTGTAAATGTGCTGTAAATATACATAAATGAACCTGAAACATTGGTGTGAATAACAGTATGGTGGGAGGAGGGGTGATGGCAAGTACGATGTTGGAGGAGTGAGGGAGGACTGGATGGCTGGGTGTGGCAGCTCACACTCGCGGAGTTCTGAGTGTGTTAATGGTGAATGTATATACTGTGTGACAGTGTATAGTGTGTAAATAGATTGTATATATACATAAATTAGCATGATACATGGTAAATATGTGCAACATATGTGTACACAAGTGTCATGCACGTAACACAGTGTTTTCGGACAGTACGGAGGTTTTACTGCCATAATATAGTGTCCGTGTTCATTATACATAGGATTAGCACGTAAAAATAAATAAAATGTATTCGGAACTGTGCGCAAAAAATGAACAAAAATATATTCGCGGCAACTCGCGTGCCCAGCCCCGGGCGCCCCACCGACCCCGGGAGCTTACAGCACGGGCGCACAGGGGAATGACGACGTCACGCGCCACCTTACGAACCCCGTAGCAGCCAAAGTAAGTACAATTTCGAAATTCTGTTGCTATACCCATATTCAGGGAGTGGGTTTTGACACTTTCAGAACAAAAAAGAATTTTTTCCCAATAATTTATTTCTTGCGCACTGGGGGGGGTGTCATATTTATAGGACACACAGTTAAAGTTAAACACACAGTTAAGTCGTTAATAAACGAAGAAGGGGACATCCTCTACTCTACATCAACAACCCTCAAACCATTTTCATGTTTACGAATAATCTCTTGTTTTTCCTCCATGGTCATCCTCACATGTGTTTTCTTAGGTTGAACCTTACCACTGACTTTCTTGGGACCCAAGGCGTGATATATAACAATTACTTTTATGTTCAAAAAACAAGAGCACAAAAATATTAAATTCTTTACAAGCACGATCATCACTAAGCAGGCGGCTCTAGTAAACTGAGGCAGGGTCAGCCGTGCCACCAGGAAACCAATACGCGTATCAACAAAGTCGCTAGTCGAGGCAAATGACATAAGTCGAGTTGCATTTTCTGAAGAAATTTACAGCATCCACTCGATTTAATAGCCTATATGGGGCTGTACCCTGGTCGTTCTTTCCGGGGCTCCGGTATTTCCGAAGTTAAGATGTCTGTAATTTTTCAAGTAACATTCAGGTAGGATATATTTTATACTGTATAACTAAAACTAAATAAAGTTCATTGTGTAATTGCGTTCCAAGTTAGTTCCTGTGTTAGTGCCCATTCTATCAGAGATTACAATTAATAATTCCTTCATATGACAAGTTGGATCACACAAGTGGACAAGTGTACCACACAACAAGTGAACCATATTAACCAAAAACCTCCCTCCCTCCCTCACCGCCACTCTTCCCTCACCCCCACCATGCTCCCTCCTTCCCTCATTGCTTCTATCCCTCCCTGCCTCTCCCCCTCAATGCCTCCCTCCATCACTGCCTCTCCCCCTCAATGCCTCCCTCCATCACTGCCTCTCCCCCTCAATGCCTCCCTCCATTACTTCCTCCCAACCCTCCCTCAATGCCTCCCTCCATCACTGTCTCCCATCCCTCCCTCAATGCCTCCTGCCATCACTGCCTCCCATCCTTCCCTCAATGCCTCCCTCCATCACTGCCTCTCCCCTCAATGCCTCCCTCCATCACTGCCTCTCCCCCTCAATGCCTCCCTCCATTACTTCCTCCCAACCCTCCCTCAATGCCTCCCTCCATCACTGTCTCCCATCCCTCCCTCAATGCCTCCCGCCATCACTGCCTCCCATCCTTCCCTCAATGCCTCCCTCCATCACTGCCTCTCCCCCTCAATGCCTCCCTCCATCACTGCCTCTCCCCCTCAATGCCTCCCTCCATTACTTCCTCCCAACCCTCCCTCAATGCCTCCCTCCATCACTGCTTCCCATCCCTCCCTATATGCCTGCCTCCATCACTGCCTCCCATCCCTCCCTCAATGCCTCCCTTCCTTCCCTCAATGCCTCCCTTCCTTCCCTCAATGCCTCCCTTCCTTCCCTCAATGCCTCCCTCCATTACTGCCTCTCATCTCTCTCTTAATGCCTGCCTCCATCACTGCCTCCCATCCCTCCCTCAATGCCTCCCACCATCACTGCCTCCCATCCTTCCCTCAATGCCTCCCTCTATCACTGCCTCTTCCCCTCAATGCTTCCTTCCATCACTGCCTCCTATCTCTCCATCACTGCCTCTCCTCCCTCAATGCCTCCTTGCATCACTGCCTCCCTCTCAATGCCTCCTTCCATCACTGTCTCCCATCCCTCCCTCAATGCCTCCCTCCATCACTGCCTCTCCCCCACAATGCCTCCTTCCATCACTGTCTCCCATCCCTCCCTCAATGCCTCCCTCCATCACTGCCTCTCCCCCACAATGCCTCCTTCCATCACTGCCTCCCATCCCTCCCTCAATGCCTTGGAGGTTGAAGGCCTGTTGCCGTGTGAGGGCCTGCCGATGCCAAAACAAACCCGATAGTGACCTTCGGTAATATCGACTGCCAGACCGGTATATGAGGCTCCAGATACCGGTCTCTCAAACCGGTCGTTATTACCAGCAGATCGATATTAAAGAGGCAATTAAATTGAGTGGATACTGTCGTAACCCAAAAAATTCGAAAGTAGGGGCAGTCGTAAGTCGAGGTGCCACTGTATACGCATATATCAACACGATAAAGAACCTAAATTATTGAGATTGTCTTAAAGCTCTCCAAATGTAATCTCTAGAAAGGAGATGAGAGCGATATCAAATAATATATACGTGGGAAAATACTGGAGGGCCAGGTGCCAATTTTACACAGTAAAATAACAATATACTGGAGTGAACAATCTAGAAAAAATACAGAACAGAACCAGTGAAGAGCAGGGGTGCCATAAGCACAATCAGAGAACACTGAATAAACATCAGAGGTCCACAGTTGTTCAACATCCTCCCAGCTAGTATAAGAAATATTGCCAGAACAACTGTGAACATTTTCAAGAGAAAACTGGATAGTTTTCTTCAAGAAGTGCCTGATCAACTGGATTTTGGTGGATATGTGGGCCTGTGGGCCGCTCCAAGTAACAGCCTGTTGGACCAAGCTCTCACAAGTTAAGCCTGGCCTCGACCGGGCTTGGAGAGTAGAAGAACTCCCAGAACCCCATCAAGCAGGTATCAAGCAGGTGGCAAAGATGAAAACCTTTAAATGTACAGTGATCATAGGCTATTGCTCCCTGCACCTATCTGAGGTGATCAGGTTCCAGCTCGTGGTCCCCATAGGTAAATAAAACTCTGCGAATGATAGTACTAAGTAGTATGACACTGATCAGTGTATGATAGCTTCAGGGAGCCTCCGGGGCTCACCTAGAAACTGGCGTTTCATTACATTCAATTTTTTTTTATATACTGTACACAAAATATTAACTTACCTTTCAGATGCAGAGGCCAATTTTTCAGCTGAACCCAAATAGTATAATGCAGCCAAAACTTGGTGTTTATACTGGTCCAACTCAGTTACTGGCACTCCTTCTATCTTTAGGCTCTCTGCCACATCATTCTGCCATTCTCCTACCAGGAACTTTGGGTTAAGAAAATATTTTGTGTAAATAAATTAATACAGGTTATCCAATTGTTTATATATATATAACATGCATTACAATATACAGGTCCTCATTATTTTTATGGATATTTAATATCACAGCATACACAAATAATTGTTTAAAATGATTGAACAGTATACAATGGGGCCTCGACTTACGATGCTAATCCGTTTCCAGAGACAGAGCGTAAGTCGAAGCGATTTTTCCCATAAGAAATAAAGGGAATTGAATTAATCCGTTCCCCACCCTCCAAAATATTAACATACAAATACATTTTATACTAAATACAATGTTTTTTTTCTAACTACAATACAGTACCAAAGTTTCTCTTACCTTTATGGAGGGCTCTTTATGGTGTATGGAAGATGATGATGAGGGGGGAGGAGGAGAGTTGTTCTTGTTTGGAAGGGGAGTCCCCTTCCATTATCACATCAGGCAGTGATGTCTTCTCTGGGGTACTCTCTCTCCTACGTTTTGCCTGAATACCAATAAGACCTGATTGTGGTTCAGTGCTTGTTTGTCTCACTACAAATTTGTCAAGAGACATTTGTTTTTCCCTTCATTTTAACATTTGTCTGTAATGATGCATCACAGTGTCACTGAATAGGTTAAGGCAACGACCTACTGCAGCTTGATTTGGGCGAGTCGGTTCAGCAAAGGTTTGTAATTCTTCCCATGCTGCACACATTTTCTTAATTGTTGAGGAAGAGACATTCTGTACTCTTGTTTCTGCTCTATGGTCATCCTTACATGGATTTTTATATGTTGAGCCTTACCACTGACATTCCTGGGACTCATGGCGTGATATATAAGTTACTTTAATGTTCAAAATGCAAAAAATCACCACAAAAGCGGAATTTCTTATAGGCGCGATTGTCACTAAGTGAACAGTGGTAGTAAACTGAGGCAGGTCGGCCGCGTGACCGGGAACCATGCACTCGGTCAACCCGAACGTGTACCAACAAATATCGGAAGTCGACGACACCATCGGATGTCGATTCGCATTTTTCGAAGAAATTTACATCGTAACTCGAAATTATCGTAAGTAGGGGCAATCGTATGTCGAGGTGCCACTGTATAAAACAACCTCCTGATGTGCACGACTGGAAGGCCTGCACCAGGTTGAAACCCAAGTACCAGGTTGAAAACCAGGAAGACCAGGCACCAGGTTGTAGGTTGAAAATGGGAAACAGATTCACGGAAAATGAAAAGGAAATGTGTGAAACATTAAATGAAAAGTTCCAAAGTGTGTTTGTACAAAATGAAATCTTCAGTGAACCAGACACAATAAGAATTCCAGAGAACAACATAAGAGTGGATAGAGGTGTCTAGAGATGAAGTGGAAAATATGCTAAAGGAGCTCAGTAAGAACAAAGCAGCTGGCCCAGATGGAGTTTCACCATGGGTTCTGAGAGAATGTGCATCTGAGCTCAGCATTCCACTTCACCTGATCTTTCAGGCATCCCTGTGTACAGGAATCGTAGCAGAGGTGTGGAAACAGGCTAACATAGTTCCAATCTACAAAAGTGGCAGCAGGGAAGACCCTCTCAATTATAGACCTGTATCATTGACAAGTGTAATAGTGAAAGTATTGGAAAAACTAATCAAAACTAAATGGGTAGAACACCTGGAGAGAAATTATATAATATCAGACAGACAGTATGGTTTTCGATCTGGAAGATCCTGTGTATCGAATTTACTCAGTTTCTATGATCGAGCAACAGAGATATTACAGGAAAGAGATGGTTGGATTGACTGCATCTTTCTGGACCTAAAAAAGGCGTTCGACAGAGTTCCACATAAGAGGTTGTTCTGGAAACTGGAAAATATTGGAGGGGTGACAGGTAAGCTTTTAACATGGATGAAAAATTTTCTGACTGATAGAAAATTGAGGGCAGTAATCAGAGGCAATGTATCGGACTGGAGAAATGTCACAAGTGGAGTACCACAGGGCTCAGGGTTGGTATACAGAATTATATGAACATGTTTGCTGATGATGCTAAGATAATAGGAAGGATAAGAAACTTAGATGATTATCATGCCCTTCAAGAGGACCTGGACAAAATTAGTATATGGAGCACCACTTGGCAAATGGTATTTAATGTTAATAAATGCCATGTTATGGAATGTGGAATAGGAGAACACAGACCCCACACAACCTATATATTATGTGAGAAATCTTTAAAGAATTTTGATAAAGAAAGAGATCTAGGGGTGGTTGTAGATAGAAAACTATCACCTGAGGACCACATAAAGAATATTGTGCGAGGAGCCTATGCCATGCTTTCTAACTTCAGAATTGCTTTTAAATACATGGATGGTGATATACTAAAGAAATTGTTCACGACTTTTGTTAGGCCAAACCTAGAATATGCAGCAGTTGTGTGGTGCCCATATCTTAAGAAGCACATCAACAAACTGGAAAAGATGCAAAGACACACTACTAAGTGGCTCTCAGAACTGAAGGGCAAGAGCTACGAGGAGAGGTTAGAGGCATTAAGTATGCCAAAACTAGAAGACAGAAGAAAAAGAGGTGATATGATCACTACATACAAAATAGTAACAGGAATTGATAAAATCGATAGGGAAGATTTCCCGAGACCTGGAACTTTAAGAACAAGAGGTCATAGATTTAAACTAGCTAAACACAGATGCCGAAGAAATATAAGAAAATTCACTTTTGCAAAAAGAGTGGTAGACAGTTGGAACAAGTTAGGTGAGAAAGTGGTGGAGGCCAAGACCGTCAGTAGTTTCAAAGCGTTATATGACAAAGAGTGCTGGGAAGACGGGACACCACGAGCATAGCTCTCATCCTGTAACTACACTTAGGTAATTACCAAGCTCCTTTCTTAATGGTTCAATCAGACTTGACACATTAAACCAAGTGACTGAAAGAAAAGAAAAGCAGTCTCCGTGGTGTACTGGTAAGACACTCGCCTGGTGTTCCGCGAGCACTATGTCATGGGTTTGTATCCTGGCCGGGGAGGATTTACTGGGAGCAATTCCTTAACTGTAGCCTCTGTTTAACGCAACAGTAAAATGTGTACTTGGATGAAAAAACGATTCTTCGCAGCAGGGGATCGTATTCCAGGGACCTGCCCGAAACGCTACGCGTACTAGTGGCTGTACAAGAATGTAACAACTCTTGTATATATCTAAAAAAAAAAAAAAAGGTTTGAGTGGCCATGAAATGAATGAAATAATATCTTGACATCTCCCAAGTGCACACCTGGCTGTAGATGTGGTGCACCGACCTCTGCAAAAGTCAAAGCTAAGCACAACAACACACAATCAGACAAACTTAATAATACCTCCAGTTTTAATGCTCACTTTGTCAACCAAGTCCTGAAGCACTACTCAGTCTTGAAAGGAGACTGGTGGGTACATTGTACATTTTTAATCTGAGGGTACTGAAAACCTCACAGAATATGTTAAACTCAGGTATTGGTTAATGGTCTTCACTCTTGGCACCATGGAAGAAGAGCCCAAATAAAGGTTAATGAAGTCACAGACCAAGGGACTTACAACATAACCAATATGCACATGTGTGATGCATTGAAAATAAGGCCTGAAATGCATAGGAGAAACCCCAAAATAATGACTTGCAAATTAGCAGAATGATTTGTGATCTCTGAGTGGTCATAGGCCATTGCTCCCTGCGCCTCTCTGAGGGTACCAGGTTTTGGCTCAAAGTTCCCAGTAAGCATAAGAACTCCCATGACTGATGACCCCAAACTAATATTGCAAATGTCAGTTTGGATAGCTTCAGGGAGCCAACGGGGCTTTCCGCCAAAAAAGTTTATCTATTAGTGTTCCAGATAAGATACAGTGGTACCTCGCATAACGATCGCCCCAAAAGGCGAACATTTTGGGTAATGAACGTCTCGATCGGAGTCAGATCATCCTGCATGGCGAACGCTCGTTTGAGTAACGTCAACACCACATGGTGGGGTCACACTGCTTCTTTCACATTCTCAGAGGCCTCTGACAATGCACATAAATTATGTTGTTCTTGTTTAACCCTTAACCCTTAACATGCTCGGGGTCTAATATCCTGCTATCCACACAGGCGCATGTCATTTTGAAAAAAAAAACAAAATTTTTTTTTTTTTGCTAATCTGTTAAGTTCTGTTCACTGATCACGGGAAAAATAAAAAAAAAATTCTATTGTACTTACTTTTGTTGCAATAGAGCCGGAAAGCTCAGTGATGACGTCACAATCTGCATGTTCGCTCATGCAGTACACGCCCGGAAGGTGTTGCGCGCGGTCCTCAAACAGCCAGAGTTGCCACAAATATATTTTCGCGCTATTTATTTACAATGTCTAAGCGCATTTTATCTAATTTTTTTTCACTAATTGTGTTTCAAATACTGTTTGAACATATTTTGTATCAATAATTGTTGCATATTTGAGTATACACAGGCGCACACAAATGTTTTCAATTACGGCAATATAATATGTCATTACAGTCTATTATATTATATGTTCTGCTTATATGTTTACATATTTACACACTCGCACACGCTATACACACTTTGAAGCACACTTAGAAGATTTCTAGACTGTGGTAGTCATTGAAGCAGTCGACAGCACATAATGGGATACCACACGTTTCACACCATGTTTGCACAAGCTTCCGTTTCTTGTCTCTACGTGTCGTTGTTTTACACACCAAGCAATCACGTTGGGCTATTGCACGCTTCACACCAGGTGGCAAATACTTAAGTTTGTGTGCTAGGAAGCCTTCAGTGTGAGCGAGGCGTGGAGTACCAGCATGCTGCAACAGTGGGTTTATGATGGGCCGCTGAATACCTGGGACATCTTTTGCAAACTTTCCTAATAACTGTATTGCAGCATCAAATACAAAGTCACGGAAAGTGGGCTTACGTCCAGTTCTCACAAGGTACATGTTGAAACAGTTCAGCATGCTCATGTCCACAAGATGGAAGAACACTTTTTTCGTCCACCTACATGTCT